TATTGTAAGGAATACTGGTCTCTAGAAGCTCTTCCACCTCGTGCTGCCAGCTTGTGTCTGGGGTGGACATTAGGAATGCACAGAGAAGCAGGCCTGGGCTATGTTCCAAAGAGTTTGATGACCTTGGTACTACTCTCTCTTTCCCTCCATTACACGCACTCACCTCAGGAGGCCTGCGACTGTGTTGTTGCTTGAGAAGATCTAGGGCATCTGATACTTCGTTTCTACTGATCTTACTGACTAAATGTAGATAAACAGTTACAAGTCACATGTTTATAAATGTTTGTTGTTGTTGTCTTAAATTACCCCATCTTTCATGTAGTAATTATTTAGAAACCAAAGCTATAAAAGTAATTTTTAAAAATAATAATGTATTAATTGTTGAATACAGAGAATCGGAATGTAAAATTAATCTCTTGCGGTGACTCATTGGAAAGAGTGGGGTGAACAGAAACATGGAGTCCATGAGGATGGGAAGTGCAGTACCAAAGTTTCGACTGTAGGTTTTATGTCCTGCTTTAGAGAAGGCATGAGAGATTCTTAAAAATTTCAACCCTAGGCCGAGCGCGGTGGCTCACACCTTTAATCCTAGCACTTTGGGAGGCTGAGATGGGCGTATCACTTGAGGGCAGGAGTTTAAGACCAGCCTAGCCAACGTGTTGAAACCCTGTCTCTACTAAAAATACAAAAATTAGCCAGGCATGGTGGCACATGCCTGTAATCCCAGCTACTTGGGAGGCTGAGGCAGGAGAATCACTTGAACCTGGGAAGCAGAGGTTGTAGCAAGCCAAGATCGTGCCACTGCACTCCAGTCTAGGCAACAGAGCAAGTCTCCATCTCAAAAAAAAAAAAAAAAAAAAAAAAGTTAAGCAATAGTATCTGTGGTAAATTTGGAATGAATACATGAACTATTTAGGAAGATTCTTATGTAGGGCCCCTAAGAGTAGAATTAACCTTTTGTTTTTAATTCTGATCTCTTTAAGCAGCAAAGTCTGTCCTGTGCCATTGAAGTGCCACAGAAGGAAATAGATGTAGAGGCCAGCTTTGTTTGTATAATACTGCTTTGCAGACAGGTTGTCAAATTGTAGTTTTCAGAGGATTTTGAGATGAGACGATGGTCCTCGATTGTCCGGGTGTCAGTGATGTAATCACAAGTGTCCTTGTGAGAGGGAGGCAGGAGAGTCAAGTTAGGGTCGGAGGAGGAGGAAGGGGAGGCCTGAGTGTGTGGAGCCCTGAGCTAAGGAATGTAGGCAGCCTCCTGGAAACGGAAGAGGCAGGAAGCCTAGACCGTCCTGAAGCACGCAGTCCCGCCGGCCCATTGCAGACTTCCGACTTCCAGAACTGTAAGGTAATAAGCAGCGTCTGTTGTTTTAAGCCACTCAGTTTGTGGCCGTTTATTGCAGAGGCAACAGGGAACTAATAGACAATGAGGGAGAGATTTAGTCACTGATTGACTCAGTATTGTGCATCTGCTCTGCCAGCCATGGTGCCTGGCCCCCCTGGACCTTGCCTTCTAGACAGAGAGACAGAATGAGTTTTGGAGAGCACTGCGTGCTGCCATGAGAATAGAATTGTCACGCAGTAGAAAATGATTGAGCAAGGAGGAACAGAGGGGGCTTGTTTGGATGGGGGCAGGAGGCTAAGAATGCACCTCTAGGGAGGTGACGTTTAAGCTGGAACCTGAATGTAAAAAAGGAAGTGTGCGTGCTGAGCTTTGGAAGCCAAGGGTTCCAGGCAGGGGACACCACGAATGCTGAAGGTGCAGAGGGACTCATGCTGTGACATGAAGCAAAACGATGCAGGACTCCCCTCTGACACAGCCCTTCCCTCTTGGATTTAAAGGAAGAGGGTGGTGGCTTAGGGTTTCTTATTCTCCCAGTGGGAAGGCCTCAGGAGATTATTTTCATACCTTGATCTTGCCCAAGAGAGTTGAGGGTGTGCATGGGAAGCATCCTTTTTCATGGGCGTTTTGTCTGTGACTCTTGACATCTGTGTGCTGTGCCCAGTCATCACCCGTCCTCAGCCCCAGCACTCTGCAGGCAGTGTTCTGAGAGCACAGGAGCCTTAACTCCCAAATCTGTTCAGTAATACTGTCAGAGCTGAGAACTTGCTACTTTTGTCATCAAATTCTAAATTGGCTTTGTCATCTGGAGTGGAGCAGCCCTCCTGCACACAGTCCCTGGCAGGAGCAGCAGCAGAGGGCCAAGGGCCAGCTCTTCTGGGTCCAGACAAGCTGTCCCATACCCTGCCCTGGCCCAGCTCTGTGCATAGGAGGAGGAGAGTGTTTCTGTTGCTGGCTTCGTGTGAATAAGCCCTGAAGGCTCACGGTCACTGTCCACTCTGTGTTCTCTCATAGCCCTTGCAGTCTAGTAGTTGATGTGGATTTTGGAGAACATTTATTCCCATCACATGGTTTTACCAGCAAAAAGGTGGGAGCCCCGAATGGGGATATGACGAAAGCATGTCGAGAGCTTTCAGAACCCCTACGCCGGCACCCCAAGGACAAGGAGGACTGTGGACCTAGGAAACTGGAGTGGGAATGCTGAGCCTTGTTTTTTGTAGGGACATCTCCTGTGTCTTTTTATTTTATTTATTTGTATTACTATTATTATTATTATTATTATTATTGAGATGGAGTCTGGCTCTGTCACCCAGGCTGGAGTGCTGCAGCATGATCTCGGCTCACTGCAACCTCCGCTTCCCAGCTTCAGGTGATTCTCCTGCCTCAGCCTCCCGAGTAGCTGGGACTACAGCCGGGCACCACCAAGCCCGGCTAGTTTTTGTATTTTTAGTAGAGATGAGGTTTCACCATGTTGGCCAGGCTGGTCTCAAACTCCTGACCTCAGGTGATCCACCCGTCTTGGCCTCCCTGCTGGGATTACAGGCGTGAGCCACCGCGCCCAGCCTCCTACATCTTTTTTAAAATGCACCTCCCCTATCCAGCTGTGAACACTTGTGAGTTGCTTATGTATAAAATCAAGGGCATTTTTCGCTTTGTGAAACGTTTTTTGAAGGTTCTCTATTTTTAATTAGGTACTAACTTTTTAAACCCGCAAATGTCATGCCTCCCAGAATTAGAAGTGTAAATGACCTTCAGGGGCTCCTTCCCAACTCTGCCAGTTAATTCAGGCTCCTAGAACCCTGGAAAGGTGTTTGGAGATACCCATAAAGTCTGTGTGCCTTGGTGATCATATGTGAAGTGGGTTATTTCGGTTTTTGTTTATTTAATGGATAGAATACCGTAGTTACACTTAGTAATACTCATTCACCCAAAGGACGGGGGGCTGCTAAATCATTGTGTTTTTTGATGAATGGCTTGTACACTGAAAAATAAATTGGACAAACTGGCATAGAGCTCAGTGAACATGAAATCAGCTATTAGAAGAAAGCTCGTGAACAAATTCTGAGGCAGATATGCATCTTTTGATTAATGCTCTATCAATCATCCACACAGCTACTTTAGCTAAGTCTTGCCATAATCATTCATGCTTGCTTTTGGAAACACTGGCAGCAACTATAACGTCGCAGAAACGGAATATTACTACTGATTTCTCCCTAACTTACTGTGAACAATGACTGTTTTCACCATGTTTCTGCTTTCCTTTATTAAAGAAATACAATGCAGAATGAAAGGAGAGTTCCTCAAAGCCTCGTGAAATTCTCCTAGGGTATTCTTAATGATATTCAGTCTTAAATGGGCAAGCTATTGTAATATAAGGTTCTCTGTAGGAATAATAGTAATGTAATCCCATTGAAGCTGCCTGTTATGGATTGTAGTCGAATAGGCAAAATGTAGAGTCACATTAATGAACAGAGTATATCTTTGGAATTATTACTTAAAGTTGTTGAAATGGTTTGAATTTTGTTATTGTAATTATTTTATTCTCCGTTAATGCGCTTAACAGCCATAGTAATTAACCCACCAGATTGGAAATTTGCATGAGTTCTAACTTTGACGTTAACGAGAAACCCTGATTCTTTCTGGGTATTACACAGCAGGAGAGGGAGAAATAGATACACACACATATATATATATATATAAATATTTTTTCACTGATTATTTTTTTAAAAAGAAATTTCCATGAATGCAATTATTAGTTTTTCACACATTTTTAAGCCATTGGCAAATTTTTTAAGAACACTCCATTCTTTTAAGAGGATTTGATTCCAAAACTATGCTGGCACAGAGAATGATTTGGTACTGCCGGCTCGTCGGGAAATCTTTAGGTAATATCACTGCTTCCTCAGGACTTACTGTAGCCTGGGAAATAGTGTGGCATAATAAAGTAGTGACAGGCATTAGCATGCATAATGGGCTTTAATAGACATTAAATGCTGTTTAGCTAGAAGAAGGAGCAGTGCTTTCCCACTGGAATATTCCTTCATCGAAGCCCATTGATCACTGATTTCAGTGGGGAGAGGTTAATCCATCAGCTTCTGTAACCAGACGGCACTGATGGAAATTCTTTAGGTGGCATTCTGGATGAACCAGGCTTTCCATCTTTACAAACAAATGAGTGATATGACAAGCATGGTGTTCAAAACACATTTAACCAATTGATTTTCTTTCCTCTTGTAATAAGATCTGGAGACATATGAAAGCGTGCGGTGTGAGTTAAGATTAAAGGAATTGCTCCATGCACAGGAACATACGGAACTGAGAGCCAATAAAAGTCCAATAAAGCATGTAGTCACCCATTCTCTTTTTTATATAAAGTTTGTTATTGCAATAAATAGTTATTATTGAGGCGATGCCTTTTATTTCCGTTTTTGCAGGATCTTGTTTCATATCTGCGTTCATATGTGCATGCACATGCGTGTCATCTCAGGGCTCATCTTTCTCTTAGAAGTTTTCAAGATGCTTGGCAATAATCCTACTTTCTCATTTTAACAGATTTGATTTGGAATGGTAAAATTATAAATAGAAAGCTGCAGATCTTGTGTAGTGTCTGAGCTCGGTGTTTAACTGATGGTCTTCTTTTATTATCTCCCCCGCGCAGCCCTGCCTTGAGCTTCACCTACTCTTCTGCGCCCGTCTCTCTCCACATGCATCAGCAGATTCTAAGCCGACAGCAGAGCTTAGGTTCAGCCTTTGGACACAGCCCTCCACTCATCCACCCTGCCCCAACTTTTCCAACACAGAGGCCTATTCCAGGGATCCCTACGGTTCTGAACCCCGTCCAGGTCAGCTCCGGTCCTTCTGAGTCCTCACAGGTGAGAGGGACAGGTCGATGCACCCCGCTGTGCTGGTCAATGGAAGGTGGGTCAGCTACCATGTGAGCCTTTAAGCAACATGGCACCTCTGTGTTCTCACGGCCTCCATACTGGCATCCTGTCTCTTTAATGCTGAGGTCTAGTCTTCAGCTTGGTGGACGTGTTGTATAAATGCTCCTTATCAGACAATAGCTTCTTCCCCCAGAGTCGTTTTCTCATGGGCATAGCGGCAGGCTGCTTGATAAAGTTTCACTGTGACCTGGTGCCATCATAACCTGCACCCCATGTCACTGCAGCGTGTGGATGAATTGCTCTCATTTGGTCACTGTTCATTGCCACTGCTAACAGTTGTGACTTACCACCAGGTAGTACTTTAGAGGAAGACTAAAACTCTGCCCTGTGTTTAACTGTTGCCACTTTGATATTATTTGGAGAAGAATCTGGATGCTCTAATTAAAGAACTTCACAAACGGAACGTGTTGGTCTTCCACCCTCCTCACAACTTTGTTCTTTTGAAATACACTGTTGGAGCTTGTTACAGCCTAGGGCCTCAGCTCCATTCTTCCAGCTTTTAAAAGCCGTAGGGAGTTTATACTCATGAGTTAAAAATGAAGAGCTGCCGCACGAATGTATTTTCTACCTTTGAACACGTTGTGTGAACTCTACTATCCTGGGATGGGAGCATTATCAGAGTCGTTGCTTTATTGCCAAATAAGCCTGCTTGTCCTGAGTTACAGGTTTTAATTATGGTACTGCTTCTTGTTGATCAAAACCTTTTTGTCTCTGGCTCTGCAAATGTAACCAGCAGAACAAACCCACGAGTGAGTCTGCAGTGAGCAGCACTGGTGACCCGATGCACAACAAGAGGTCCAAGATCAAACCCGATGAAGACCTCCCCAGCCCAGGGGCTCGGGGGCAGCAGGTAGGACACACAGGCTGCACAGGCCAGCATCCATTCCTCCCGAGATGGGTGTCTTTGGGCCACTTCCGCTCCCCCTTCCTCCCCAGTCCTGATGTCTTTTTCGGGACATTTCCTTGCGCACTGCATTGTTGACCTTGGCCATACTCAACTTGCTGAACAAAAAAGGCTAGATGTGGAGTGGCTACGTTGTTTTTCTAGCTCAGAAGCAAACAGAGGCAGTGCAGGAAGCCATGGGGGGCGTTTCTTCTTGACAGTTTAGGCAGCTTAGGGGTATAGACAACTGTAGCTAATAGAGAAAATGAGGAAATGGTTGCATTAATTTTTTGCTGACCACAGGTGAGACCAGGCTTCAGTCCTCATCTGTGATCTTGGGTCTGAATTACTGAGCTCCTGCACCCAAGCCTGACCTGTGGCAGATCTGATGGCTCCTGTACCAATTGTGTTTTTATTTTTTCTTGTTTTACTACTTCCCACTTTCTAGGAGAGCCATACGAACCAGAAGGGATGAAAGCACAAGTAACCTAAGGCTAGTTAGATTCTGGCCCTCAGCCCCAAATTCTGAAAGCAAGAGTATAGGAATTTCCATCTGGATTCCGCCTGTAGTCACTTAAATCCTCTGGGCCTCAGTTTAAGGATGTGTAGGTTATACTCATAATATCATCTCATAGGGCTCTCCGCCTGATGCAGGAAGGAGCTCTGTGACTGCGAATTCCCCAACATAGAGCTTGGACAAGAGTCCAGATGTCCACAGAATCTGGACCTTGCTGTCATCAGGCTGCTTCAGTCCAAGCCTCAGACTTCTTGCCCAAATTTCCTTTTCAGCAAGAATGTGGAGGCTGGAGTCAATTGGTGTCCCAGGTTCTGAAATGGATCTTTTCTCTTGCATATTGCCCGACAGCAACAACCTTGCTGGTTAAACTGCAGTGCCTGCATACGGTTTTTATCATCTAGCCCTGGATTGGGACCTGAATCTACACAAGACGACTTCTCAGAATGACTTGTATTTGCATTGCTGTGAAGCTGCCTTGGGAGTTTAGGAAGGACTGTGCCCCTGAGCTTTTGGCCCCTGGGCCTTGGCTAGTGAGCATAAACCTAGAGAACAGAGGTTGAATCCGGTGGGCATTTTCACTATAAAGTCCACAAAAGTGCCTCATACAATCTCCAACAGCAGGGAAAACAGAATTAGAAGTACTAGTAAATGATTTCCCACAAAAAGTAAGAATAAACAAATTAACACACTGAAGATAATTAAAACAACTAAACAAAACAGAAGTAGCAGTCCTTTGGGTAAAGCCCTAATTTAATTGATTATCTTACGAGTTTTGTTTTGTTTGATTTTTGTTTGTTTTTGTTTTATTTTGGGTTTTTCTTTAGATGACATTTGACTTTATTTTCAGCTTTGTAATCACGGAGGCAAACTTTGGCCTCAACTTTTTATCATCATTTTGACAGGCTGTTGCCTTGAATCACAGGTTAAAACTCTCAGAGGGTATTTGGTAAGTCTGAAAACATGCACAGAAATGATTTTATTGTTTGACTTCTTCAGTTCATAAAACCCTAGACCCAAATCTACATTGAGTTTTTACTTTCTCTCTTGTCTTCCCTCCCATTGTGTCTGATTCTCTCCCCTTCTCTGTTCCCTCCCCCAACCCTCCTCTTTCAGGAACAGCCCGAAGGAACAACCCTTGTCAAGGAGGAAGGGGACAAAGATGAAAGCAAGCAGGAGCCTGAAGTCATCTATGAGACGAACTGCCACTGGGAAGGCTGCACGAGGGAGTTCGACACCCAAGAGCAGCTTGTGCACGTAAGTGGATGGCATTCAGGAATGGGGCTTTACAGCTCTGTGACCCTTTCCAGGGAGGTTGGCCTCTCTGACCCTGTGCTGAGTCAAGTTTCTTAGTGAGCCGCACTGCGCACTGGAGAGGGCTTTATGACTTTCTGAGAATAAAGAAAACTCGGAGCCACGGTGCTTGACCTGTTCAGTCAGCTAAAGCTGAGTGTAAAATTCAATAAAGTCTTCAATAGAGAGTGTAATGACTCTGATCCTGTAAGCCAGAAAACACTATTTTGAGTTAGCGACTTTGATGGTTATTGAGTAATAGTAAGCTGGACATGAATTATGATTAACCTTTTAACCAAGTTTGATTCCATTCCCAAGACCTGGTAACAATGGGAAAAATGCGGAGGTGGGGGATTCCTTTTTTCCGCTCCCAAACCCTCAAAGCCTAAGGAAGCGCCCATTATTTTAAGCTGCAGTTAGTGCTCTTTATGAGCTAGGTAGCATCGTTGCTTGGTTTGAGGCCAGCCCTTGTGGGGTTAGGAGTTTCATGGAAAAAGTTATATGTGTTTTTAAATATATTTAGTGATGGATGTTTTGGAAACTGCAGCGTGGTCAGATTGAGAACCACACCTCCTCTTCCAAACCAGGTTCAGAAAATTTTACGCTCTCTGCTGCGTGTCATTTCAAAAAGTGCAGTGTCCACACAGCCTCCTCCCCACCCCCATGCCTGATTTGTGATACTCCCTTCCCAAAAGTGCTTCACTGTTCTTGGTACTTTCTTGGAAGGCCAGTGGAGTTTTCCCTGGCAAATGGGACCAGGAGCGGCTGACGTGGAAGGGCATTTAGACAATCAAGAATGAAAAGATGCAGGTGCTGCAGCTCCTGGCAGAAGCACAGGGTCCTGTTGAAGCATTAAGTGTGGGCAGTTTTTTAAGCTTTTAATACTATGAAAAATTGGAGAGTAATATTTGTTGCCATTCCCCCCTCCTGCTCTCTCTCTCTGTCTCTCTGTCTCTCTCTCTCTCCACTTTCTCTTTCATGATCCATTCTCTTTTACGGTAACTGTATTTTTAGGTGATTCGTGTCTCTTGATAACCCTCCTGCATCTAGATTAAGCACTAAAATTATGAAGTCCCTCTTACACCCCACACATTTCGTAGGTGATGTGAGCTCTTAATATGTTGTCCTGCAACTCGGCCTATCCTATGTAATGTATTCCACGCATCGCAGTTACATTGCAGTGTTAAGCACATAGGTTGCCAGATTTTGAGCTCTGTTCTATACAGAATGCTTTGAGGATTTTACATGACATTGTCAGGGTTCCTCCTCTCCATTTCTTTTTAAATCATGTCTCCTGGTAATTGTATAGGAAGAATTATAGATTTCTGAGCGCAGAAAAAAATATCAGAAAGTCAGATGTTTTTAATTAAGGTATATTTCCAGAATTTTTCCATGAACTTAATTTGATTCTTTCTCTTTAATTTGATGCAAGTGTTATTTTGAAGCCAAGCCTGACTTAATGGCCCTTTATTCTTTATTCGTGGCTGTTTTAATGGAAATCACAAAGACGTTGGAATTACGAAGGGGAGAAACGTTTGGAATTTTTGTTTTAGTATGGGGAAATACTCCCAAAGAGTAGCATGTGCTGTGTGTATCCGTAGTGATATAACGAGTGAAGAACAAACGTGAAGAGAATTGTTTGTGCAAAAGCTGCCATCATAGAAGAGATGCTGGCAGAGCAGCTTGCTTTTTAAAATATCCTGAGGGTGACACAGTCTCATGGTGCCGTTTTGGAGGATAAGTCATTGTACTTTGCAAGGAGTGTTGGATACTGGTTCAGTCATTGTCAAATCAGGAATGAAATAAGAGCTTATTTTAAGTCTACATTTAAAATGAATTGTGCTCCCCATAAGAGGCAGGGTTTGAAGTAATATTTCTTGGAGTGTGGTACTAACTTAACCCTTTCACAGCCTAAGTAGGATATTGTGAAAGCTTTTAAAAGATGGTGATATTGCAGGTATTTGAATTTAATCTAGATGGCGGCTGGTCTCTATGATGTTTTAATAGAAAGATCTGAGTGTTAAAGAAAGGCTGCTTAAAACCACCAACTAAATGACCACCATGCTATTCATCAAAACGGTCTTTAAAAACTACGAATGTGCACATATGCAGTGGAATATTTTAATTCCAGCTTAACCAGAAGAAATTCATGTCAGGATTAGAAGAAAATCCAATATATTACCTTTATTATATTAATTTTAGTCTGAGACAAATTATATGAGTAAATAAACTTAATTAAATGAATTAAGAATTATAATTTACCACAACATAAATACGGAGACTAGTTTATATCACTTATTTTCCACCTTTTTACTTACTGTGTAAGGTGCAGAAATCCCACATTTGCATGTTTAAATTGGTTCTACATTGCATGACATGTGTGTACCTTCTTACTCATGAGTATAGCCAGCAGCAATAGTGGTGGCCTGGTATAGAATGGGTAGGTGCTTTGTATTATGTTGATTGAAGGAATATCTTCTTCACGTCCGCCTAATTACTTTGGTGGTAGAATAAATAGCAGTTACAAAAGCTACTTTTTTTTTTTTTTTTTACAGAGGGAAGCATTAACAGTTTCCATTCCTGTGACTTTCCTTAGAGAGAGGACATTTGGTGAATTAGTTGGATTTTCATGCCACATACAACCAAGAGGCAAGGTGTTAAACCATTCTGATGCTCTGCCTTATTTATAGCCGTGACCCATTCTTTTTCCCCCCTCTTACAGTTAATAGAAAGATTCATGATTCTTCATGGTTGTCTATCTAGTGTCTGACAGTCCCGACTGCCTGCTAAAGCAAGTCACTATCTATAATTGATATCCTTCCGGGGAATAGGGTGCTGGCTGCAATTGAAGGGCTTTGCTGAAAGCTCTTAAATCCTGACAAGTTCTCCCCTTGTTCTGGTTCAGTCGTTGGGCTGCACGGTTGGAATTCCGGAGTTATTTGAACTTGGTGCAAAAGGGAGACATGTGTTTCACATTAGCAAATCACAAAGTTGAAGAAGAGAGTTAGAAACTCGGCTGACTTTGCCCGCCAGGTAGTCTCATTTCCACTGTAATGCACTCCATGTACTCTTGAAAAGATTACCTCGTCCATTACTATCTGAACAGATGGGCTAAATATTAGCCGTTCCCTTCTCTTCTCCTTTATTTCAAGCCCCTCTCCTTCACCAATTATGTGTTTATTCTAGGTTTGCTGCTGGGTCTTTATCACAGGGATGTTTAATTAATTTCTCTTCCCAGCAAGATAATTACAACTGGGCTTAGTTACTCTCAGGCTAGTATTAAATTCGTCATAAATTTACTTCTGTGACCAGAAGCTAAGAAGATAGATGCGTATTTTTGTTAGCTGTGTTTTTGTTGTACTTCATTTCTTTCTTGGTGTTAGTTAAAATTGAAGGAAACAGGAAAAGTATATAGAACAAAAATTAATTCCAAGTATGCTGAAGACTGGATTTATTATTGATTTGCCAAAATGCAGGTATTGTCTCTTGCCATTTGAAAGATACGCATTCTAACATCTCAAAATGAAAGTCCACATTTTTCCTCAATTTTAAATTAACCAGACCACCTTTTTTGTTGTTGTTGGGCATTATATTTTAGAAGACGTGAATCCTAACTTCAAATGTTTCTGAGAGCTGTAGTGTTGTTTGGTTTCGCTTTCTGCTTATGCTGATGTTACTTGGTTTAGCTTGTGTTACTATGTAAAGCAGCTCAGCCTAGCTTCTTCCAAGCAGGAGGGATGCTTTCTGTGTACGCGGAGATCCATTTTCCTCTTGTTTTAATTTTGTCCTGGAAGTAAGTTCCATCTCTGGCTCTTTGATGTTTGAGTGTCTGAAATACGCACATTCTGCAGCACACGTTAGTGTCAGGTTCTCTGAAACCTGCACACTTCGGTTGTGCGTGACATTGTATATACCACCCATATTTTGAGAGGTCTTCTAAGAGGAGGAAAAGGAATAAACGTAAACAACTTTTATCTTGGTGTGGAGTCCTCACTGCTGAGTGGCTGTTTATGCTTGAAAACATCAGTGCTGAGATTGAAAGAATAATCGTGTCATCACCATACTTCATGTCCACCTGTTTGCTGTAACTCTGCAACTCTGCCCTCAATTTCAACAATCCGACTCCCTATTTCTGTGTAAGAAATAATACAAATAATGTTCTTCCCAAAGGTCTTTAAAAAGCCAAATTATTTTAAAAGTTTTATTCCCAATCCCCAGCAGCATGCCCTGCAGGGGCTCTTGGCAATCTCACTGAGGGATGTTGCCTTCTGCCTGTGGGGCAGAACCACAGAGAACCTGAGATGTGTTTCTGTTAGCACCCAGCTTCAACTGGGTGGCATTTAAGTCTCTGTAATCCTCCATTTGTCTCCCTTAAGCATAGTGTCAAAAATTCACCTTTGTGTAGAGTGATTAACCACCTACTTGGATTTTTAAAGTGCTTTCATATGCTGCAAATTTTGATCTCTAAAAGCACGCTGAAGTTTCCTTTATCAGAAGAATACAGTTATAATCACCTTTGCTGCCATTTGGAAACAAATTCTATACATCAGCAGCATGAAAATGAGCGGCTTTCTTTTTAACACAGAAATTTAGATATAAAGAAAGCACATCTAATTTGTGAAGAATTGATGTGTCTGTAGGAACGCAAGGAAGAGTGAGGATGTGAAGACATCATTTTCACATTAATACCGTGATCCTAAATTTGCATTTTAAATGTTTCCCATGTAATTTTGATCCCTTTGCTAAAGTTGCATTGTCTGTCCTTACCTAAGAGAAAATTGAGTTTAAGATGTGATGGAGTCTCAGATATGAGGCAGAAATTAGTTTTGTGTGTGCATAAAACATAAAACGAATGAGTGAAGATTTTGATCTTATTTTCCCTACATGGAGTTGCTAGTTAATTTGGTTACTGTAATTATTTGGAAACACGGCATATAAAATATAAACCCAGAACTAAAAACTTC